GTTTCCTGATGGATATGCAGAGCAAATCCATCTGGCGGAGTCAGGTTATAATTTTGCACCTTATGAGGGGAAAAAATAACTGATGCCATACTCAGGACATCACAAGCAGGGTATTCATTCAGTTGTCTATTATTTTTGTAGGCAAAGAGTTAACAGATCCTGTTTTCAGTCGTAAGGTTAGACACCTCTGTTCTTGTAGAAACAATTAAGGTAACAGCATGAGGATGGCAAAGTCAAACAGGATGAACATTTGAGATTACAGAGGTCATACAAAAGGAAAACCAGAGGCCATGAGAATAAGCAAGCAACAAAAAAGAGCAAATAAAACGTGCCTATTTCAGAAAATACAAATTTATTAATTTTCTGTTACTCATACATTAAACTTTCAGTAAAAATAACCAGTTTCACTTGCAACACAACCAGCATTTTGCTTCTGTCAGGAAAACATTGTTCTCATGGCACATCTTATAGATCCTTCAGAATGTTGCTTGAGCAAGGATCGAGTTGCAAAACTGCCCAAATGTACCAAATCCACACAGTTTCCCTCTTGTCTCACATCAGCACACATGTTGGCTTTCATCAAGATACATTTTCTTATTTTGTTAACCTCCTTGATCAGCCAGCTGTGTCCTCGTTGTAACAATACCAGCCAATCAATCGCATTTCAAAACAGGAAGTCGGGCAGCTTGAACCCCTGCAACCTTCTCAGAGCTCTCTGTCAGCTACGTTTGCTTGCATACCAAGCATAGCAGGAGCTGTGCCCACCTCTTGCAAGCAATTTCGCAGGGAGATGCAGAGACTGAGGGGTGGCACAGCCACTGGATGGAGTCTGGGTAATCTTCAGCTGTTCCACTGAGAGGTGATGATGGAAGGATCTGTATGTCAGCGTGCAGGCATGCCTTATGTGGTCTGTAAGGAATGTGTATCCATTCGCTCGCACATAATAAATCATTCTACCTTAAATCCATCCATGCACAATAGAAAGTGGACAACGGGAAGCGTAACAGAAAGGTGAGAAATGAGGGCAGATTAAGACGAGAGGGGATCTTAGGAGAGGATAGACTTCATAGAGGATTCAGAGGGCAGTGGTGTGAGAGATTATGTCCAGAAGCATGAAAAAAGTTAATTACATAAAGGTATTATACGTTTTTTTTTATGTATAATGTAATTCCTGAAATAGAGTCTGGATTTTTGTGAGCAGACTAGCAGAAAAAACTAGGTGCAAATGAATGCAAAGCCTTCTGATTCGAGCCTCCCTGAGGACTACTGGTCTGCCAAAGTCTGGATCTTCCTGATAAAAAAGAAGGTATCTGATGAGACTCTGTGAAGCATGAGAAACAGCAAGAAGCCAGAGGGAAAAGTGAAGAAAGTAAATAGTTCTGTTAAGGCCTCCATGAACAGCACAGAAATGTCATTCAAGCTTTGGCATCTGGTTTCCATTATCCTCGGCATATGCCTGTGTAACATATACAGCCATGGGAAAAAAAGATCATGTCTGTGGTATGCACTTCCTCGGCTGCACGTGGTCGTCACATGAACATGAAACAGAGGAGTTCAGACTTGGGTGACAATCAGAGACAAATATAAGGGGAAATAAAATGAGAGATGACTTCATAGCTTTTGGTTTTGACAAAATTGAAGAGAGAAATAATGGATTATCCTGTAAGGTGAAAACAGACTGCTAAGCCTAAACTTTAAACATCATTTCCTAAAAGTGCAGAGAGCATTTTTATTTAATCCATCTGAGTCACTGCTTTGCAGAATCACAGATGCGTGTGAGTCTGCTGGTATAGGCCTTTACCAGCTGTACGCAGCTTAAGTTTATTGATTCCTTCAAGTAAAGGCTAGAGGTCAGTCAGAATGGGTTTGTTCAGGCCTTGCCACAAATTTTCAAATGCATTTAGATCTGGACTTTGACTAGACCATTCCTAGATAAATATACATTGATATAAACTATTACATTGCAACTTTGGGATGTAGGTTTATTGACATTGTTTCTCAGCCATTTGGATTTTCTTCCAAGATTACTTGATTATAATAACATAATGCAAAAACGCAAGCTGTAATTTTTTGATACAGGAACCTTTCAAAGAGGGCCCCACCCATGCCATATTCCATCCTGCTCTTTCGTCCCGTGTTCTTTTCTGTTGTAATCTTTCAACCATCAGCCTCCCTCTCTCTCCCCCCTCTTCCTCTGCAGGACACAAAGCCAGGAAGGAAAGGTACAGAGGCCAGAATGGACACTGAACACAGCAGCTTAGCCTGAGGAAGCAGGCTCTCGGTTTCCCTGAACCATAGCAGGGACATTGCCGAGGGTGTTAGAATGACCAACTCCATCGGAATTCAAATGTCTGTCTGCAGAAGGCTAGATAGCGTCACCCACTTAAGAAATTTTTATTTTAACATTCCTTATGTTTACTTAGACAGCAAGTCTTGGTTTATCGAGGAAAATTGGCTGCTGTCAGAGGTGAAAAATACTAAAACTTGGGTCTGATTGAATTTTGGCATCCAGATTTGATCCGCTTTTTTCGGATGAACCGAACAAAGTCGTCATGCTTTATCAGCTTCTTGTATTTTATGCATGCCGGCCTGTCAAAGTTTTGTACTAGCATCCAAAGTCGGTGTTAGTCATTGCTTATTATAACGAAACACAAAAAATCCTTGGTATAGATTGTTCCATTCTGCTAATGTGGGGGGAGCATCTTTTCCCCAAAGAAACGGTCACATATCTTTTGTAAACGCTCTCTTACAAGATATCTGTCATTCACATGCTGTCTGGGGAGACTTGCTTTTTCTTTTTTTGACCGCCTGCATCTGTGCTGTGGCCTGCAGAAAGTCCTGATGTGATTCATGGTTTGTAGTGTGTGCAAACAAATAAGGGTTTATACAATCCAGACACGTTCTGAGCTGTTTGGACATGCAACAGGCGCACATTGCTGGGTTTCAACACTGACCGCGGACACGTGTTGGAGTGATAGAGTAGGAAAAAAGAATGGAACATACCTTCTGTCTGTTTCAGGGGTGGACACCTCACTGCTGAAGCCAAGAGATTCCTGAGTAAAAAAATTAAAAAGATCATTACTTTTTTTAAATTAAAAACAGAATAATATCATGTTTCTAATTGATTTGTTCAGTTTTTCTTAAATCTCTGAATAAAAATAAAAACAAAACAAAAAATTAGAGAAATAGTAATTTATTCAAATGTAGCTGGTAGGTAAGAGTAGTTATGTTTGGGATGGCAAATATTTTTTTAAACACAAGGCCATGTTGGTTAGGACTGTTTTTTTTTTTTTTTTTTAATTATAATTGGAATAATTATACTAAAAAAAATTTTTTTTTAATTTCTATGTTTTTCTCTTCAGATAAAAAAAAAATCTTTGTGGCAGATACTTCATACAAAGAATCTTTTCTTACCTGGATCTCATTGCGAAGCTGGAGAGAGGTGCTGCTTGGGTCCTGTTTATCCTGAAAAAAAAAAAAACTATTATAAACCAGTTTAGGCATAGAAATATAAAAAAATATAAATTAAATAACTAGGAAAAATAGTGGAAAAAACATGTGTCAAACATTTTCAATGAGTGACATTTTTTCATGGCATGTTCAGGACATGCAGCACCTGCAAATCACTCAAAACAAACACAAGCATGGGCATACACATAAATATTAGATAAATACTGGAATCAAGACTTGCTGTGGGTAGCTAAACCTGCAAAGGTTTAAATGTTAATGTCACCTGGCGGCAGCAGAGGTTGTGTAGCGCGGTCCTAGCTTTTAATTAAAAAACAAAACTGGCCCTGCTGACTCCTTTAAACAATTATTATAACACTAGAGTGCATTTCATTCAACCACAAGCAATTCCCAGCTGTTTTATTTTACAATACAATTTATCAGACCAATATACAGTGTTTTATTATAAAAGCTTGCTTTTAACTATTGCAGAGGGGGAAAAAACTGTCTCTGTGTCGCTACAGTCTTTAGCTTGGGATGTTTAAGCTGCAATGACACTCATTGGGCCAGTAATTGGCTTAAGGGTAGCCAGCTGCATTTCAAAGTGTGCACCAGAGTGGAGACAAAAGGGCTGACCTCAGGTCCATAGCTTTCTTTGATAGAGGTTATCTCCCTGTTATGAGCCACACAACCTGAGAGGTTACCTGGCTCATTAAAAGTGTTTGAGATACTTTTCCAAAGGTCTTATTTCTTCCAGTGTTTTATTTCAATACTAAGAAATTCACCATTAATCCTTTTTAAAGGGATGGGCAAGCTTTCTACGCATGCACTACTAAATCTGTCAATATTATAAATAAGAATGACCATTATTACTCTGCAAAGTTGTAAAGGAACTAGCAGAAAAATGGACAATGAAAATGCAAGTATATATTAAGAAATGACTGACTTGGTCTGAAGCTGACAATTAGAGCAGAACTAGTTAGAAGCTGCAAAATATAAAGTGGATCAGCACAGGATAATACCAAAAAAATAGAACAAACAGGGCAGTTTCTAAAAAAACAGATTTATATAATATCCATATCTAATTTACTGTCTCTATAATTGTATAAATATGTTTTATGATAGAGATTCTTGTCAATATTACATGGTAATCACAAAAAAAAAGTATAAAATTTAGGTTAGGAAAAGAACGGAATAGTTTAATTTAATAGTGTATGGACCCCTTGATAAAGCCTTGCCTACTTTGTGGCAACCATTGGCATAAAGTTTTGTAATTTTTCAAAGATCATTCAATAATTAATAAAATAAAATTTTTTGAATACCATGAGAGTTACTGTTAAAAAAAACAGCTTTAGATGTCTACTATGAAGTATGAAGTCCAACCAATAAGAGACCAGCATATACATTATCATATGATCATGAAAGTTTATCATCATTTTCAAGTATTTCTAATCAGAGGTCACACAGAGGAAACAATACATAGAGAGAATAACAAGTTTACTACTAATGCTAGTTAATTACTAACCAGAGGTGATGACAACCCTCTATTCAAATCAATTTATTCATATAAAATGCAAACATTGTACACAGTCACCTGCATAGTGTCGCTGGCTCCATAGCAATCACTCATAGACACAATAAACAACCCAAACAGTGTTTTATATGACAATTTACAAACAACACCAATGCCAACACCTAATTTGGGAGGCAGCTGTCAGATCTTGGAATAGGTTTTTCTTTTTTAGTTTGCCTGTAAATAAGAAAACCCCCAAAGTAAAACTACCGACACAGACTACAAGTTCTACTCGTCTATCTATATGCCATATGGGAGAAAACAAAGAGACTTGAAAATTATTGTTTTTTCTTTTCTTTTTTTTTTTAAGGAGGTGCTTCTTAAATATAAAATAGGAAAGATCCAAAAGAAGACGGTAGAAGCAGGAAAAGTTAGTAACATCCCAAAGAGTAATTTAGTTTTAAAGTTTGGGATTTTTTTTTTTGTGATACAAAGAGAGCAGAATTTAGAACTCGCATTGAAGGTGAACCTTTAAAAAAAAAAGTTTTTGGTTCTATTTATGTCTGGAAACTTAAGAGGAAGCACCAATCCCACTAGCTTGACTGACTTTCACAATGTACTAACAGAAAGGGAAACCACAACCTCAGACAAGTCCCTGCTTCTTCTTTCTAGTTGACATTTAATAAAATACAGGTAAGGTAAAGAATGACTGGAGATGCTAAACTCTGACAAAGATGAGCTATTCTGAAACCATCACGTGTTACTGTGAGGTTTTGGGATTTAAGTCATGTGAGGAAGTCTATTTCAATCAAAGCTGAAGATGTTGTGGTTTTCCTAATCTTTTATCCACATGGCAGACACAAATCTTGTCAAATTCCATAGCAAATTAATGGGATGCTACCGCAGAAAGACGTTGCTTAAGCAACAGAGTTAAGATCAACAAAGAAGGTCTGGTCAGTACATGAACATTTTGTGCTTGGCTTTCTAAAAACTATTTATCTGAACTCTGTCCTGCTGCCACTAAGACTAATAGAATCAAAATGTTCCAAAAAGAGAGCAGGAAAAGGAAATCAGTAACCTCTTCCTTTTTTTTTTTTTTACTGTGAATCACTCTTTCTCTGCACATATATTAGGTTAAAAGACAATAGTAACAGGAAATCTAATATAGAATGACTTCTTAGTTATTGTCATATACTTCCTTTAGCTTTACACGAGAATGTGCCTTCTCTCCACACCATCAACTTTTAAGCATGAGTGACTCAGTCAGAGATGACATAACCTCTTCACAAGGTCCTTAAGTGCTTCAAGTGTTCCGAGTCAAATGAGCAATGGCCCTTAAAAGCTGAGTTGGCAAAAACCTTCAAATTAGTCTCAACCCTAGACTTAAGATAACACTAATCAGTAGCTGCAAGACTGCATAAATGATAACAAGACAACATAGCAGACTTCCTTCAGTTCCAACTCATTTGTTCATATATTTATATCTCTGGTCGGGCAAATGTATACAGACATTTGTTTGCGAGATAAATCATGAGAACTTAGGCAGATTTTGCATACAGGGAATATAAGGATTCCCATAAGTTAGAGAGCAGGTATCTTCCTAAGGTTTAAAACACTTTTTCTACTAACTTGCCAGGAAAATCTGGGACGGAACTGTTTGCCTTTCTGTAAAAGGAAGAGATTATTGGAGACAAAGAAAAACCGCATCCATCCTTTGAACAAGCACAGCGTTGGTGTTCCTGTTTGAACAAAAGCGACTGTGCAAAACGCTGTTTACTTAAAAAAAAAAAAGCCACATAAAGAGGGAGAGGCATTAAACAAAGCATATATGCACATTCAGGAACACTTTCACAAAGGTAGCGATGGGCTGTTTTTTTTCAGATCAGATCCTCCTTGATGTGTTCTCCGGCTTGTAGGATCTTATGCATGTCTGTGCCAACAACATGGGGGGCGCAGAAACTGACGTCAAACACAAAAAGCGGAGCTCACCTACTGAAATGCAAACATTTCGCCTCCACTTTCACAGACAGTGACTGTAAATACACAAAGCTGCTCTCTGATTCTCCTACTAAGCTCCAGTTTGTTCTTGCATTCCATCCTACAGTCAGTTTCTCAAGGGATCCTCAGCATAACATAGTTTTTTCTATGAATTTCTAGGAGACAACAATATGAGACAACTATTATCATGAAGATGATGATGATGTGGAGAAATATAAACCACCTTTTCAAACATTTACAAATTCGATGGCACAACTTCAAACCTAACCGGGACACTTTAATAATTGAAGTGGCTCATTTCAACTTTGGAGGAGGTGCAAAGATCCATGCCTCAGGTAGAAAAGAAAAACACAATCATGTATAACCTTGTGTTTTTTTGTGTATCGCCTCACAAATATTTTTCCAAAGCATTGTATTTATTTTTACAAAGGAAGCACAGTTTCAGGAACAGAACTTCGGATCAATATATTATCAAAGCAAAGCTATGATCTCATCAAACCCACTCCCTGAGGACGCCTGCTTCCCTTCGTTTGAACTAGCCTGCATCATCTTGTGATGCTGTCCTACTTACCCGAACCTGGCACTGTGTGTTAAACATGCATATTTTTTTCCACCAGATGGCTTCAGAAGTTATTTGCCCAGATGTCTGTGTGTATGGGCATGCATGTCTGAGGCAAATGCATTATATCTTTAACTGCTAAAGCATGACGGGGCTGAGTTGGAATAAAATGAAGCAAAAGGGAGAGCTTTGACTAATGAGGATCACGATGTCAGAAGGCAGGAGACTTGGTATACCCTAATGCACTTCCAAAAAGACACTCATGAAAAGTGGCTGTGATGTTACCTGCATTTTGATATTTTGAGTCTCAACAGGAGCATATACAGTAAATAGAGAGATGCAACTAGGCACAAAACTGTTTATTCCGGTTTATCCAGTTTATTGCAAGAACTTGAGCCAGCACAAGTAGGTGGATATGCTACAAAGGGAGAGAGAGGTTGTTTAGTGTAGGCTCGCCAGCTGGCATGACTGTCTAAATCTGGGTGGGCGAGTGAGAAGTTTCTAGGTATGAAATGCGAATGTTGAAAGACAGGCACTGAAAGAGAAGCAAGAGCTGAGCCGTTGGCCGTGGAACCAGTACAGCAAGAAGTGAGCCTGCACAACCAGTTTATTTGAGGAGATCATCCACACAGAGTTTAAACACACTAATTGCACAAAAAATGCATTGTTGTTCAAGTCTTGCCTTCAAAAACAGGATATGCATGTTCGTACCTCAGCAGACAGCCTGCTATTCCAGTTTATATCAGCGGCATGTTTGAAAGTGAAAAAGTAAACCAAGAGGACCCCCAAACAACAAAGTCTTCCTTTCAAGGGAGCAGATTCCTAAGCCTTGAGGATCATCTTTGTTTTGGCAATTCAAGACTAATACCACAGTTATTACAAATTCCAATGACAGTCAGGAGTCCAACACTGACAAATAAATCATGTAACAAAATTACAAATACACCA